AATATAACTGCTGTTAAGAAGATTGAAGCCCCTCCTTTCTTATTCTTTTTTTTCCTTTTTCCTTTTTTTATATCATTTTTTATTTCTTTTTCACGTTTGCATACTTTTCTCTATTTCTGTTATCTTTAACTTGAAATTTGTATTGTTTTTACTCTCTGGAAAAACTTCTTTAATAAAAATTTTATATACACACACACACACACAGAGAAATAAATTAATATACAGTGAACACAGATTTTTTTTAAACTATGGTGTATTCTACCAAGCACTCAGGCACTTTCATTTTCTTAGATGCCTTGTGTTTGCTTCAAGAAAAGTAAATATGTGCTTCGGGGAAAGTAAAAAACCTTGATGATTAGGTTCATGAAGTCGCGATCTGGGTAGTTGGCACAATTGATCTGAAAATACATGGCATCAGAAAAACATGCATGTGCAAATTTTGGACTATAGCCAGAGCTTCGAATTGGATGGAAGTTGGGGAGGGGGGAATTCTTGAAAATGTGCCCCAGTTTGTATATTTTAGAATTTTCAACCCAAACTACATAACCAAGTAGTTTTACTGGGTAAAGGGAAGGTGGTTTAGGGATCGAATACAGTCCCCTTGTCTCTCAAATCACTACCCCTTAGTGGAAGACATTACACCAAATCTGTTTCATTAGCTAATTATTTTATTTCCTTTTTTAATAGAGCTGACGGAGTCATGAGGACAATGAATACAGAAAAACTGTTAAAAACTGTACCGATTATACAAAACCAGATGGATGCACTGCTTGATTTCAATGTAAGTTATTTTAGCCACTAATAAAGGAATGTTAGATAGGAGCTTTTAAATTATCAGACTTAACCATGTGGCTTCAGTTTCAGCATACTGAATCTATCTGATCTAAGTTATTTCTCCTTAATGACATCTCAGTGCCCTTTTAAATTTGTGTAAAATAGTAAAAACTTGTGTTTGCCTACAGTTAGTATGTTGGCTTTTGTGTGTATGGAGTGGTAGTTCTTCAGAAATACTGTATAAATTAAGAAGATACATACTACTTGACATAAAAATATACATGTAGCTAAATGTATCGGTGAAGTACTTAAGGTGCACTGTTGGGTCAGGGAAAATAGATTTTATATATCGGCAGTAGTTGTCAGAGTCTGCACACTCAATCACTAGTAGCTGGGTTAAAATGTTTTATTCAAACATGGTTTGGGTTACCACTGTTTAGAACCCAAACCATGGTTTGAACTTCAAAATGTTCAGGCAAAATATTCTTACAGTTGCTTAAGGTTCTTTAAACATGGCTGATACCTGAATTGAGTAGAAATGCAGAAATGTTAGTAAGCCCAGGTAGAAGACCAAACTTTGTTCCACCGGGTTCTTCCATTAGTGAATCTCATGGGTGAAAACAAATTCCACTGTGCAGTCAAAGCTGAGAAATATAGTTGCTCTAGGCCAGTGTTTTTCAAGCTTGGCAACTTTAAGATGTGTGAACTTCAACTTCCAGAATTCTGGGGGTTGAAGTCCACACATCTTAAAGTTGCCAAGTTTGAAAAACACTGTTCTAGGCATCAGAGGCCCTTGAGCAGTTAGGAGTTATCCCTACCTTTCACTCATTAGAACCAGACTTGGAATTGGGGAATGAAAGTCCTGTTTATTTTAGCACTGGAAAATTGAGGTGCTCAGAACGCCTCAATTTTCTCTCAGCAAAATAGCCATTTCTAACCTCTAATCCAGAAGAAATGCCATCATTACTTGGTATTAGATAGCAGAATTCTGAGCCACACACATTTGAGGGGAAGGGGCAGATTTTTTCCCCCATTGTGCATTATACATAGTTGCATTGTTCTAGATGGATAGCTGCAAATCAGCCTCTCCCAAAGTGGGGCAATATCTGTGAAAGGATATATATTTTAGCACAGTTTTTGCTTAATTGTGAGGTTCGGGAAGGGCTGCAGGTGGGAATGTAAGTAGTTTGTCTTGCAGCAAGCTTGCATTCCCATTTTTACCAGTAAAAGTGCTTAAAGTTAAGTATAAATCATCCTGTTGAAAATTAGCTCATTTGCTGCCAAATTTCTGTGGCATGAGTGCAGGGAGTTTCAGGAACTGTGAGATGCTGGGGGCCACCCTGCCTGAGAAGCTCAGTGCAACTGTAGGGGAAGACCTTCATCTCTGCAAAAATGCAAAGATGGAGAGAGAATGGATGCTCTTCCAGGAGGTGATGGAAGACTTGCTGAGGCACGTAGGATTGTGCATACCAGATATGAGCTAGTACGTAATGCCAAAGGAAGAAATCTCTGTTCTGAATATGAAGCAGAAGATAGATGTGGATGTTTTTCCAGTTTGCTTAGCTTCTTTTCTTGTTTTTGACAGGTCAACAGCAATGAACTTACGAATGGTGTAATTAATGCTGCCTTCATGCTTCTTTTCAAAGATGCCATTAGACTTTTTGCAGCGTATAATGAAGGGATTATTAATTTGCTGGGTAAGAATTTTCTCGGTCACTTACTCTTTGTGCTTAGTAAGGCTGTGAATTTCTTTTTCATTTTCTGCAAGACAATTTCAGACCAGCTTTTAAGAACGGCTTTCTTTACATATAAACAGAAATGTGCCTAAATACAAGCTGATTTGGAATAATTTTGGCATGAACAGTCACGTCTTTAAATTATAATTTTCTTTATGACTAGTCACTACATAATCAAACTGCATTTTTCTCTTTGCTCCTTATTTGTGGAAGGTGGCAATGTTGGTAATAAATTTGATCTTAACACTCTGAGTCAAGGATTTTTACCCATAGAAGAGAAGAATAGGATTGTTGTCATAACCTTGATTTGTCAGATTGATTATGGATAGATGCCAAGTCCCAGAGTAGAGTAAGCAGGCTGTACATGTCCATTTAATAGGAAATATCCTACACACAGTCTTTTGAATTTAATCTTATATTCAGTATTCATACTCCACTGGAGTATTCTGGATCAACTCTATGTGAAGAGGAAATGAAGGCTGGAAAACATGACAATGAATTTGCAATTCATCTCTTTCTGGAGAATTTGAATCTCTAATTTCTGCTTTTCAGACTACATGCAGAGCCAACAGTAGGGGAAAGAGAGTGTCCTCCTGCCCTGCTCTTAATATTCTCAGGATTATTGCAGAAGTAAACAAAACACTTACGTTCTTCACTTACTAATTTTCTGCAACAAGACAGGTCTGGGGTATAATATGGCGTAGCTTTAGCACTGTAAAACTAACTTCAATGGGGCTGCCTGCCAGCCAGTTACATGCATGCCCCTAGCTGTTGCAGAAACCCAAATGCCCACTGGCTCATGTTGCCTGGTAATCAGGTAACATTAAAACTAAGAATATTGGGTTAAACAGAGTAAATAATATGTGTGACTTCTTCAACAATACTTCGTCACAGCGTAAGTTGTCCTTATGTGTGTTCAGGCATGCAGAGTAGGTATGAACAACCCCAAAACTGCATGAGTTATCTCACAATCCCCATACTCCTTTTTTATGATCTCCAGTATCTCCTAAGATCACACTTAACAGCAGCGTAGTTTTTCACAAGTAAAATCAGCTTCTTAAACTCTAGCTGTCATAATCCTGTTTTATTCTTTGAAAAAGGTAGGAGGGTAGAAATTTGCCCAGTTACCTCAGTGTCGTCCTTTGGTCATCCCTCTATCCCAAGCTGCTCCTTGTCACCCAGAAAAATCAAAAACGCACATCTGATTGTAAAAAGGTTGCTTCCCTGCTATATGAATAGTTTTTATGAGTTTTAGTTCCCCATTTGCCCGGTTTGGTTTTATTTTTTTCTTGTCACACTACTTTAACATTTCTGACAACCTAAGTACATGTACTTCCTAGTTGGTGGGTTGTGGGTAGATTTGCAAGGTGACCCCCAGATTAGAGATCGTAGCTTGCATATATATAAGTGCATTGAGCATCTTTTGGGGTAAACCTGGGCTTTGATTGCTCTTTTGCCATGCTGGCCAAACTGATTAGTCCGTACCATTAGCAAGGAATACTGCATGTGGCACAGTTAACATTAAGGCCAGTAACCTTGTCTACACCATCTCTAGTTTATTGAATGTAAATGTGATGTAAAAGGGTCAGTTGACCAAAGCCATGGTGGGCGGTGGAAGTCAGTATAAATGGGACCCTGCCATATGGATGACTGTGACTTGGAATGTAAAAGGAGTAAAGAATATAAATTAATGCATTGAAATGAAAGAAAACAAAAATAGGTATGTTCTGTTTTTGTGAAACTAAGAGAAATGGAAAAGATATAGATATGAATCGAGGTGGCCTGACCTTCTAAAGCAGTATTAATTAATACACACAAGTAAATGAAAGTGTAGGTTTAATTATGAATGAAAGAGAGAAAATTTATGCCAGAAAGTAAGAAGTGGTGTCATCTAAACTGTCGTGGGTGCGTATGAAGGTAGGAATGCGTAATTTGGTGATCATTTTGTGTTAGTGAAGAATGAGTTTTGGGAAATCCTGTGTAACTTTTTAAATAAATGCAATCAAAGGAAAAATTATTCTCTTAGGCGACATAGATAAATGGTGGGAAGAAGATGAGAGAGTACAGAGAAAATGTTTGGGCCATTGTGAAATCCATTAATGAATGAGAATCGTGTCTAGAGAGTAACTGCTTAGAAAACAGTCTATTTGTATTAACAATCAGGTTTAAATATGTTAGTATTTAATATAGCAAAGTATTTTACTGTATTTTCATATAGCAAAGGAATGGATATAAATCTCGAAGTATGATTTGTCTGTTTATGTTGAGCTATTAAGAGAGTTAGTGAATGATACAAGGATGATAAGAGGTTATGAATGTGAGACACGCCATTTCTTGATAGTGTCAGAAGTGGTTCAGAAGTAGAAAATGGCTATGGAAGAAAAGGAAAGAAATGAAAAACTAGAATGAAAGTAGAACTGCGGGAAGAGAAAGTACTAGTCCGTTATGGAAGAACTATAAACTAACCTTTCAAAGGAATGAATGGAAAATGGAAATAAAGGATATGGAAGCTGCTTTGAACAGAGTGAAAAGATTTATGCTACTGAAAGCAGGTGAAGTTATGCTAATGAGTAGTACGAAAAAGGATGGTTGATGGAATGAAAAATGCATGGGCGAGAAAAATATGCACATAGGAAAATGATTGCTGCATATGGAAGAAATAGTTGCAAAGAAGGCAGTTGAAGAAAGCAAGAAATGGTTAGGCTTAAAAGAGATACAGAAAATTCAGAATAATTTTGATGGAAAAAAATTTTGTTTTGGAAGTGGTAAAGAGGGCTAAACAAGGCGCCTGCAGCAGTGTGAGTGAGATTCAGAATGTTAAATTTTTAAATTGTTATTTATTTATTATTATTTATTTAAATATATCGGCCACCTAACTCCAGTTAAATTAAAATTTAAATTAAAAATGAAAGTGATACAGTTATTTTGGAAGAACTGAAGTGAGGGAATGCTGGAAGGTATATTTTAGAGATTAGCATTAGAATGATAATACTTTGAAGAGTACTAAAATGAGGAAAAGGAAGTCATAAATGTTGATTATGAGGATGTTGGAAAATGAGAAGGTTGCAGGTCTAAATGGTTTAACTAGAAAAATGTTAAATTATATTACTGTGGTTTGCCTATGGAGAACTAGTGCGACTTGTTTAACATACACATGAGGGTTGTATCTGCATCTGATGACTGGAAGAATGCTGTTACTGTTTTCCTAAACAAAGAGGAAGGTAGCAAGAGTGGACGCAAAACTACAGAGAAATTAAATGGTTAAGCCTACTTGGGAAGGTGTTGGGCAGAATTTTGATTAAAAAGTTAGAAGGGGTGATAATGGACAACATTTGAGAAGTGCAGTACCACTCTTCCAAGCAAGGGATGTGCAGATCAGATTTTTGCTTTTCAGCAGGTCATTCAGAAACGTATGAATATGAAAGTGTACCATATATTTAGTGAAAGCATACAATAAACTGAATAGGCTTGAATTATGGAACATTTGGCATTAATATGGAGGTGAATGTTGGTTATGGAATGCAGTAAGAGCAGTATATGATGGAAATAAAGCATGCATGAAATTCAATTGAATGTTTAGCAAGCAATTCAACATGGATAGGGAGCAAGGCAAGAGTGTATGATGTCCCCTTGGTTATCTAATGTGTTTATAGATCAGTGTGTAAGAAACCTTTATATGTAATTATGTGAAATGTGTAAGAAACAACTTACTTGTGTTGGTTGGGGATGTGAATATACTTTGATATGCAGGTAAAGTGGTAGTGTTGGCTAAGAACCTGTGGTTTGCCACTAATGCTAGATTGTATGATGCTATGAAGAATAGGGATCTGAAAATCGATGTTTTAAGGACCAGGGTATTAGTTGTGCTTGACAGAGAAAATGGAGTAAACAATTAAGTCACACATAAATGATAAAAACTAGAGCAACTAGTTTTAATGTAGCCTTGAATAAAGGTTTCCAGTTTGTTGCATGTAGCATTTTTTTATTGAAGGGTAATCTTGGTGATGTTTTTAGAGCAACTTAAATATACATTTATGCTGCAGGATTTCATTTTGCTATTTCGTATAAACACAGGCTTTTTTAGAGTTCTAATTTTAAATAATTACCTGTTTGAATTTAATTCAATCTCATGTCCCACTGTTTCTTATTTTGGAACTGTTGTTCCTGTATCAGATCTCCAAAATACATAGACAACCTGCAAGGAACTGTTTGTGAGGTTTAAAATTTAATACAGTGAAGAGTTGTGAAACTGATGAACATCCTTGACCTTTGTAACTATGTAATACCCAGACTTTTACATGCTGTAAACAGGAAGAAGATTATCCCCACTGCTCTCATTTTTAAAAATTTCTTTCTGCAGAAAAATACTTTGACATGAAAAAGAATCAGTGCAAGGAAGCCCTTGACATATATAAGAAGTTTCTGACTAGGATGGCAAGAATTTCTGAGTTTCTCAAAGTTGCAGAGGTAAAAATTGCTTAATCCATAACGAATATTGTTACTCATATTGACTGGATGCTATTGTTGAGAATTTATGGAGTGTTTAAAGACTTGATTGAAAGCTTAGGTTAAACCACACTAGACAGAAGTCCAATGGAAGTATTGGGAATATTAATATTGGTACAGATTCAGCACCAATATTTTTGTGAATGTTTCACTCAAGAAGGCTGCTTTCCAAACAATGAATTATTTTTCAAATTTATCATTGTATTACCATATTTTCTGGGCAACTTGTAGACTGAAACACTAATAAAATCCAATAAATTGCTGAACCTGTGGTTAAAAGCATAGAATTTTAAACAGGTTCTAGTCTGGAAAGAAGAAAAAGTAAGGCTGGATGAACAAAAATATTAATTAAGGTGCTGAAAATATTATCTGTTGTATTTGTGTGCAAGGAAGATAACAGTGAAATTAAAACAATCTGTCCCCACTCAAAAAATACAGAAAAAAATCCTATGCAATGCCAATATGGGGTGCTAGTTCCAACTAACACCAGACCTAGAGATATTTTTTTCTTGCCCAAGAAATGTATATATGGGACATAGGCACACTCTTGACCAGAACTCTTATTAGAAGCCATATTCAAATAGTAAGCAAGGCTAGGCTATAAATATTTATATATACACACACAATTGATTAAAATTGTCTTTGAAACTAGATACTCCATTTATAAAATTAAGTGAATCCCCATCATACTGCAATGTAATACATTCCCCTCCCTCCCAGCCAAAAAGGAGAAGGAAAAAAATACAAGGTGGAGATGGGTTAAAGGGAAAGGGGAGTACATTCTGAGAAGTAAGCAAATCATACGGTCAGAGACCTCCATGCTGATGCATCTGATCATTTCACCTCTTATCAATTCTTTTTTCCCCCCTTTCTCCCAGTAAGTTATGGTCTTATAAGCAAAACATAAGCAGTCCCTCTCAAATAATAGATTTGGGGAGAAGGAAAAATTCTTATCTAAATGATGTCAGGTGACTCTCATTGGCATGGCTATTACAGAACTAGAATGCCACCCCCAAAATGCCACCTCATTTAATAAAGGCACTTGGACCAGAGGCTCTACTTTCTGTTGGATCTGTACAGGTAGGCAATAACAAACCATAAAACAATGTCACAGCCATCTTTCCTTGGGTGGTTCTATCTGTTCACCTTCATCTAATCCACTTCTGTGCCCAAGCACTTCTTAGTATAGCTTTAGCTGTGACTGATGAAAAGGAAATCTTTACTCATCTGAAGTCAGATTACACCTTGGCTTAAAATCTTTGGGTAATCTCTGATGTAGATGCAAAACTGCTAGGAAAGAGCATATGTTAACTGAATGGATCTTTTACATTGGTATTCATCCAAGTACCTTGTCTTTACGTGTATTACGTGAGAAGGCTGTAATCTGGGAAGGTCAGAACACAGTTTTCCTCCCAAAGAAATATGATAATTCTACAGTGGTTACTGCTGCAATATCATTGTTCAGTCGTTATAGTCTTCTGATAGAGTTTCATTCATGGCTGCTGTGTTAATTTTATAGAACAAAAGTAGGGGTGGATGATAAGAATGGAATACCTATCCTTTTACTGTTTTGATCTCCAGTGCCCTGTTCCCCAAGCTCTAAATTATTAGGTGTCAAAAGTTATACCTGTCTGCTGGTCTCCTCTCCCTGTGGTGACCATTTTTGCAGAGAAGAGGCTTAAGAATTTTATTTAGAATTCTGTTCTTAAGTGATTGCACAGAAAGACAGAGGAAGGGACTACAAAAGACCGTTTGGTTTAACTTTTCTGAGCCTGTGTGCTAGAGGAAGGCTGTCTTTCTTCACCCCTAGGAACTTGACTTAATTTGTCAAAATTAATTAATTAAAAGATCCATGCTACCAATTTCCTTGCTTACCATTTTACAAAGGTATAATAAACACTGCTATAAAAGCATTAGTATAATACTAGAGAACCCGTGACCTGTTGGGTTCACGTTTTAGAGATATTTCCTTACCAAAACAGAGAAACAGAATGACCATGGGCAGGCAAAAAAGCAGTGGGAGTGGGAGTGACTTCTGACTTCCTGTCGGCTTCCCCATTGACTTTCCTTGTGGAAAGCTGGCAGGGAGTGTCGGAAATCTTCTTTCCTTCCTTCCCTTCCTCCCCCCCTTTCCTTCCTTCCTTCCTTCCTTCCTTCCTTCCTTCCTTCCTTCCTTCCTTCCT